AGCGGTGGCCCGGGGAGCCATGGCCCCTGGGCCCCCGCGCCCGGGCCCGGGCCCCCAAAAGGGGGAGGAAAAGGGAGGGAAAGGGCCCCGAACCAAAAAAAAAAAAAAAAAAAAAAAAAATCACAATGAGATACCATTTCACACCCACAAGGATGGCTAAAATCAAAACAACGTATAATAACAAGTGTTGGCAAGGACACAGAGAAACCAGAAAGTTTATACCTTGCTGGTGGGAATATGAAATACAAAATGGTGTACAGTTTTCCACCGTGAAAAATTGAGGCAGCTCTTCAAAACATTAAAGAGAGTTACCTATGGCTCAGCACTCCTAGGTACATACCCGAGAGGAATGAAAACATGTTGACACAAAAATCTGTAAACAAATGTTCACAGCAGCATTATTCATAATAGCCAAAAAAGTAGAAACAAAACAATGTCCACCAACTGATGAATGGATAAACAAGATGTGGCATGTCCCTAAACTACAATATTATTCAGCCATAAAAAGGAATGAAGCAGACTTCCTGGGTGGTCCAGTGGTTAAAACTCTGCGCTTCCACTGCAGGGGGCGTTGGTTCAATCCCTGGTCGGGAAACTAAGATCCCACATGCCGCAACGCAGCCAAAAACAAAAAGGAATAATGAAGCACTGACACATGCTACAATGTGGGTGAGCCTTGAAAACATTATGCCAAACAAAAGAAAGCCAGACACAAAGGACACATATTATATGATTCCATTTATATGAAATGTCCAGAGTCGGAAAAGTGAGAAAGTAGGTTACTGGTTTCCAGGGGTGGGGAGAGAAGGCAAGGGGGAGTGAGTGCTTAATAGGTATAGGGTTTCTTTTGGGGGCAAAAAAGGTCTGGAATTAGATAGTAGTGATGATTGCACAACCTTGTAAATACAGCAAAACCCACTAAATCATACACAGTAAAAAGGTGCATTTTATGGTATGTGAATGATATTTCAGTTTTTAAAAATTCAAATTACATGCAATTTTATGTTACTTAAAGTGAGACCCACATGAAACAGGTGCTAAAACCATTTCAGGATCCTTGTCCAGAGGATCTGCTGTCCTTGCAAAGGGAAGAGAGACTCAGTGATGGGCCCCCTCCCACAGGGGCACAAAGGTGAAGAACAAGTCCCACCTTCACAAAGGAAAATCACAGGTTATCATTTTTAAAGTAGCCACTTTAAGAGTTTCACAAATAACATTTATTGACTGTATTCATAATGGAATCCCACCCACATTCACACAACTCCACTACAACTAAGAATCACCTGATGATAAATAATTTGGATTGACTCTTGGATGTGAATTATATGATCTGAGAAAACGGTGGCTATTACAGACTCTTCCTGATGTGATGGCTTTCGTTAAAGACCTTGAGTATGACTAACATTTGTGTTGATGTTCTTGACAGTAGCTGTTGATTCCAACTTCAAACCTAAACCAACTGGCTAGAAAGCAAAGAGAAAGGCAATTACTAGGAACTGCCCCCCAAACTGAAACCACATTGCCCTTGCAGGGCCTGTTTGGGGAACCTCCGAGGGGTGGAGGGTGAAGGAAACCCCACCACAGAACAGGATGTACGCTTGGTCCCTGAGGAGCCCAGGCAGAAAACAGGGTGCAGCCTTGGCTGGCTCACTTTCCAGCTGTGGGACCTGAGGCGACGCACTCAACCCCCAGAGCCCACTCTCCCTTCTGGAACTCCGAGGAGAATCCCAGCTTTGCAGAACTGTGGAAGGAATCAAATAAAACGAAGGCTACGGCAAGTCCAGCCACAAAGGCAAGTGCTTGACTCATCACTACTCTTCAGGGCTCCCTGTCGGGCAGTTCAGAGCTCACCTGATCTCCTGAGGTCTCTGAAGTTCTAGCAAGTCTCTGCCAGGCCAGCAGATGGGCCAACAGCCTCTCCTGAGATAGGCTGGGTGTGTGCTTTGGGGGATCTCACAGGGCACCCCACATACACCTCAGGCAGGTAAGATATTTCTCCTAAACAGGTGATTGGTGCCTGACCTCTGCCCTAAGATCCTGGCTCTGAAGCAAACACGTCTTACAAAAGCATTAGCAATTTTCCTTTGGCCCACCTGGACCAACTACTTAACACAGACCATCTACACAAAAGTTTCTTTCTTTGCTCTTCCCAGAGTGGGAACCAGGGAGTCCAACTAAATTTGACATCGAGATGGCAAACACAGACAGAAAGATGAAACTTAAAAAAAAAAAAAAAAAGAAGGAAATCTCACAATGCTGCCCCACTAAGGTTCACAGATCACGCAAAGCTGACGGACCCCCGCCCGGCCCCTTCCTGGGGGCACTCGCCCTAGAGAAGTTGCAACCCAGGTCCATATAGGCACTTGTACGCAGATGTGCATCACAACATCATATGTGACCGCAGGGAGTGCCCAATACTAGGAGAGTGGACAAGCAGGATGCTGAGAGAGGAACTTCCACTTCCAGACAAGATGGTGGGACAAAGACAGGGCTACCTTCCCGTCTGAACAACTAGAAAACTGGGCAGAAGACATCTGAAACTGTTTTCAGATACTGGACACTTTCTAGAACATTCCCCTTACAACTGTGTGGAGGAGACAGACAAAAAGCAAACAAGTCAATATATGTAAATTCTAATTGTGCACATTTACATGTTGATATGTATTTGCATATTTACATACCTGTGTGTGTGTGTTTGCACGTATTTACATACAGGTGTGATAAAAGAAACAGAAAGAAGGGGGTGGATGGGGGTAATGGTTGGGGAGATGGGTAAACTGGGGCAGCGGAGTTTAGAGATGGAAGAGGAGAGCTTTTTCCAAGAAAACTAAAGCAAACAACCAGGTAAGGGGACACCCTGTCTTGAAACTGAAGTCGCCCTGGAGGCTTCCTGGGTGGTGGTGGGGGACTGAGTGGGGTTCCAGGTGAGAAACACAGGCCTGGGCAAGGACAGTGGGTCCGAGGCCAGAGAAAGGGCTTTTCAATATGGAGCCTTGATGGTTGGGGCTGGGCTGGGGGAGAGGGGAGAGGCAGCAGGTCCCCCAAGGGTGCGATGTGCTCAGACCTCAGAAGGCTGGCTAGTCGAGCTGGCTTAAAATCCACTTCCAACCCCAACACAACAGAAATCTGCAGAAACTGGAACCAATGGTCTTTTGGGGGCAGGGGAATTTGGGAACTTGGGAACAGGGAAGAGAGGAGGAAAGAAAAGTGGGTGGTCCCAAGACACCCCACCTCCCCACCATCAGCCCTGGCCCTGGCGTATCTGGATTGCTCTTCCCTTGCATTTTCTGGAAGAAGATACCTGTGTCAGGTGTGAGCAAGAGTCCAGACAATGGTAACAACATAACAGGAATCATGGCCGTGCTCATCTCTCACCCTCTGCTGAGCAACAACCAAGTTCTCCCACATCCTCAACTCAACTAAACCCTGGGAGTGAGATGAGCCCAAGGCCACCACTGCCCCACCCGCACCTGCTCACCGGAGGGCCACGATGACACTCAGTAGGGCCTGGAGGACGATCAGGAGGCTGAGGCTGAGGGGTAGGAGGGAGGCCGGGAGGCTTGCTGGCTGCCCTGGGGACAGCGGCGCAGCCTGGTGAAGGGCCTGGAGCTGCTGCCACTTGAGGAGACGGCGCCCTTCACCATCACAGATTCTCCAGCGGTTGTACCCAGAGCGCACGTCCAGGGGGACTTCTAGGCAGAGAAAGAGAGTCAGGCCTCAGCGGGGTGTGGGGACAGGATGCTCTCAAGTCTGCACCCATGAGAGAGCCCTCTGGAACCCAGGGCAAGGAAACCAGGTGTCCCAACAAGGCAGGTCACAGCCCAGGGGTGTGCCCACTGAGATGAAGAGAGCACTGCTGTTTGTTTGTTTCTAGGGTGATTGCGGGGCCTCGTGGCTGTGTTTTCGGAGTCTTTATCTTTTAGAGCTGCCTACTGAAATATTTATGAATGAAATGATATGGTAGTTAGCTGGGATATGCTCCACATTAATCTTTTTCTTTTTCATTTTTTTCATTTTTTTTTTTTTTTTGGAGGTGGGGATGGAGTGGGTGAAGCACATATGAAACCACATCTACCAGGAGCTGATCATGGCTATAGATGAGAGATGGGAACTTGGGCTTTAGTGGAGTATTTGAAATTTCCCATAATAAGAAGTTAACAACAACCACATCCACAAACAGAATTCAAACATCTTCATCTCCTTGATGCTCTTTAGCTTTTTCAAGACCTGCTTTTGTCACATGTGACCCTCTTGATGTTATATCTCTTATTTACTTTATTACACTATTAATATGTTACTACTAGAAAATGTACACTCTAATTATACTAATATAAAATGCACTCAATATAAAGTATATTTTCCTTATAAAAAATTCTACCACAAAAGCATAAAGAGGAAAAGCACATGAGCCCTCTATTTACAAGGAAAATACAAGATCAGAAACACAGATTTTCCCTTTAAAATGGAAATCAGCTGGATTTGAGGCCAAGGGAACCATCCCATATTTTTAATCACTCTGTACAAAGCTCAGCTCAAGGAAAGAAGGATCCCTATCTTCCTGGCAGCAGTGAGACTCGCTCTCTCACTCCTGTCCTATGAACACCTTCTGGCTTGAATGGGTTTGAGGCTTGAAACATTAACATAAATCACCTGAACTATAAAACAATGGCTGGAGTAAAAATTAATACTGGTTTTTAACAACGTATCAGTGGATGCATTATTCAACAATAAACTGACTGAACTTTTAGACTTTCTTAAAGATGCAGAGTGTTCAAAGCCAAAAACAACCAATAAAAATAAGCCCATAAATCGGCGATTATAGGGTGAGAAGAGTACTTTCTCAGGTGGTTCTCGTTCTCCTGCCTGTTTTTTGTTTTTTCGTTTTTGTTTGTTTTTTGTTTTTGATAAAGTGATTTCTGGCTCTTCCACCTGAAGCTTGAGGCAACGTATTGCTACCTGTTTTGCTCATCATGCACCCCACCAAGAGCCTCCCTTTGCTGGGCCTGACCTGCCCCCTTCCCCACCCACAGGGGTTACCTGTGACTGTCAGCTGAGACAAATGATAACAGCCTTCACCTAAGCACCATCAGAGCTTTCATTTTTAAAACTGACATTAATGGAGTCCTATTGCCTGGGCTACAATGACTTCTTTTCCTACACTGCAATGTGCGTGGGAGTCCATTTCATCATCCCTAACAGTTGCGAACTCTAGGCAGCTGGTGCCACATTTCAAATGCACCCCCATTCATGTCCATCCTCCAACTGAGAGACACTTAGGTTGCTTCCAGTTTTTTGCCAAGGAAATCACTGCCACAGACAGACGTGCGTGGAGTGTCTACACGTATTACCCAGATGTGGGCTTGTTCGATTAAAGATTGTGCACGTTATAAAATTTGATCAATACCTCCAAACCTCCCGCCAAAGGCCGTGACAATTCGTGCTCCTCCTAACTGTGCTACTTTTATAATCAAGAAAAAACTAGGTATCTTCTGCATGCAGAGGTAGGCGTGTGGGATAGTGGCTGCTCGTTTCCCAAGCACTCTCCCCCTTAGCTGAGTGCCCCTGGGCGGGCCTCTCAAATCACCTGCACATCACAGGAACCCCATGTCAGACATCCAACCTCTCGGTACCCGTCCAGTCCCTCCTTCACAGAGTCCATCGAGGGGACTCACTATGCCCTCTGGCCCCAGCACGAAAAGGGGAGGGTGTGATCTGAACCAACAAATCGTCCACTCCTTTGCTCACATGCAACGCAGAGAAAGCACACATGTCGGCTATCTGCAAGGGAGAGCACCTCCGCTCATTTTAGAGACAAAGAAAGTAAAGGTGCGGGTGGAGACACCACCTCCTGGTGCACCATGACTGAGCACGTGAGTACATGCATACATCACGCCGCAGATATATGGATATGCGAACACACCTTGTCATGACTACACTGCACTGTGAACATATGAACATGCGAGTATGTGCTATGCCTGTCATGAACATATGAACGTATGAATATACTGTATGATGAATATATGCATAAATGTGGTGCCATGAACATATAACGTGTCATGAATATATGAAAGTAGGAATACATCAACATACAAACATATATACTATATCATAAATACATATTTATACACAACACATACATACACATACCATATCATGAATTATAGAAGAGTAGAGCTTAAAAAACACTTCAGATACCACCTAACCCCAGGTTGCAAATTGGTTTCTTCCTGAGAGCCAATGTTGATAACTGGTAGAGTCTGAGTCTTCTCTGGGTTCACTGGGAAAACATGGGGGATGATTAGTGATGCCTGGTGAGGGTAGGGGTGGGAGAAATGGTGTGTGCGCCAGTCTGTGGTCTTCTTTGTGTTACACCCATCTGGGGATGACAGAAGTCTCCCCCACCCCATCATGATGTTCATGAGACCCCCGCCTTCCTTGGGGACAGGGAAGGGATGAGACATGTGAGCAATGAGTTACCTGGGATGCCTTTAAAACTCTGCTGCCTTTTCACCACCTAAGATAAAAGATAAGGATGTGGGCAAGCGTTGTCAGCCCCAGTGATCCACCAAGAAGGGCTCCCAGTGATTTGGCCTGGAAACCCCCTGGAAGGGGTCCATGGCCAGCTCAGAATGCAAGTTGTGTTCTCCTTTTAAAAAGCCTCTGGGTCTTAATTCTGGGGGCAGTATGCTACTTGATGACAGAAAACCAGCAGCTGGAATGTGGGTGAAGGCAGAAGGAAGCCTCTCACTCCAGAAAAGCTTGCTCAGAAAGCAAGGGAGAGAAGTGGCCCTGGAGCTGAGTTGGGCTGGACCTGGCTGACCATCTCCCACCACAGTTGCTGGCCTGGAACCCAGAGCTGTGGAGGTACCAGACAGAGCCAAAGAGCAAGGACAGACACTCGAGCAGTGGTCCTTCCCCAGCACCCTCCCTCCAGGCCTGCCAGGCTGGGGCTACAAGTGCAGAATGCTCAGACAGGCGGAGAGAGCTGAGGGGGAGAGGAGGCAAGGAGAGGGAGGAGGGGTGGGAAGGAAGAGGGAGGGAGGTGAGGGAGGTGGAGAAGAGGGAAGAGGGAGGAGAAGGCAGGAGAGGAGAAGGGGACAGAAGACATGGCCGGAAAGGTGACTGCTGTCACCTTTGTCACCTTTCTGATGGCACCCTCATCAGAAAGCAGTGCACCCCACCCTTCCCAACACCACCAGGACACCTGGCCTGGGCCTGCCCTGAGTACCACTTGCCTCCTGCACTCTGCTGCCCTAGGCCACAGCTTCCAGAGGGTCCCCAGACATCAATGGAGACCACTGTGGGGAAAGAACCCAGCACCCTTTCCCTCATCTCTGGGTCCCTCCTTAGCCCGCCTCTCACTTTCAGGCCTCGCTGCCATGCGAGCCTCCCTCTTACCTTCTTGTGAGACCTCAGGACCTGGGGCACCTAGTAGGGCATCACAGCCTGATCCCTACGCAGCAGGAGGCGGCCCCCAGAGTGGTGGCATGGGCAGGGGCATGCCTTGGTGGTTTGGGGGACGTAAAACCAGACCATCTTTTGGATCTAACAGAGGAAGGGAAGAGAAGGTCCAAAGCGGGGTAGAGCCACGCCCCAGACAACCTCAGCCTCGGGGACAGGGCCCTGGAGAGCGCCCAGCTGAGGGAACAGGTCCCCATTCCATGATATTCCCAGGAGTGGCTGGCACCCTCACGACCCACCACCTGCATCTCTGCAGTGGGGCATCTGTGTGGTACTGTGGCGGGACACATGGGTGGGAGTTGGGAGGCCTGGCTCTATCCTGAGCCTGGCAGCCTCCAGGAACAACCCTTAGGCACAACGTTTAGCCCCTCTGAGCCTCAGCATTCTCGGCTAGAGAGAGGGCTCTGCCAGAATCCTGACAACATTGGTCAGAGTCTAAAATGGATAGTCTTTGGTCCAGCAATTGCACTCCTGGGACTGTATCCCAGGAGGACACATGAGCATTTGCTCAAGAACACTCAGTACAGCACTGGCTGTAGTGACCAAATAGCCTGAATGCCTATAATAAGGGACAATAAATAATGGACGTGGGAACAGAGGGAATGGGTGGCCTTTGGAAAGAATGAGGCAGACCTGTCTGTCCTGACACAGAATGAGCATAGAGACACGATATTAAGTGGGAAATGCAGCACTGTATGCTACCATTTACATTTTTTTAAAAGGTGGCGGGGGGGGGCTTCCCTGGTGGCGCAGTGGTTGAGAATCTGCCTGCCAATGCAGGGGATACGGGTTTGAGCCCCGGTCTGGGAAGATCCCACGTGCCGCAAAGCAACTAAGCCCGTGCACTACAACTACTGAGCCTGCGCTCTAGAGCCCGCAAGCCACAACTACTGAAGCCCACGTGCCACAACTACTGAAGCCGGCGCGCCTAGAGCCCGTGCTCCGCAACAAGAGAAGCCACCGCAATGAGAAGCCCGTGCACCGCAAGAAAGAGTAGCCCCTGCTCGCCGCAACTAGAGAAAGCACGTGTGCAGCAACAAAGACCCAATGCAGCCAAAAATAAATGAATAAAATATAAATAAATTAAAAAGAAACCAATTTTGCTCATGGGGCAAAGCGGCCAGGCCCCAGGGATCAGCCAGTCCCACTTTGCCAGCAAAGAGTCTTGGTTGTGGGGTTGGGGGGGAGAGTCAACTGGGGCTTCTGAGAATGTTTTATACCTGAGAAGAAAGAGAGAGTGGGAGAGTAAGCCTTTGGAAGACTCCAAAAGACTCACTTTCTGCCATGTGTAACACAGTGTAAAACAGACCCGTGGCCACCATCTAAAAACACTAGAAATGACAGCACAAACACTCTGAGTGGAAGGATGAAGAGAATCTGGGTCCCTGAAGACATCATAAAGCCAAAAAACCAATCCTAGAAGAACCCTCTCTCTACCAAAGACCCTGGTTGAACCCACTGTGGGTCAGTTTTCTGTTTCTTGCACCTAATACTTCCCTGCTGATGGAACAGGAGCCTGAGGAGCAAGCGGAAAGGGGACTGGATATCCAGGCAGGGGCAAGGTCAAGAAGGACCCCAAGAGTTGTGTCAGGGAGTTTGGTCCATATTCTGAGGGAAATGGGTCTCCACGGGGTAGTGACAGGACCAGATATATGGTTTTAAAAGCTCACCAGCTACAGATCAGAAAATGGACAGTCAGAGTTAGAAAGGATGTAGGCAAGGAGACCAGCTAGGAGGCTGGGCAGTCACCCTGGTGAGATGTGCTGGGCACCTTGACTTCTATATTCCTTCCACCCTTACCCCTGACACCCAGCAACAAAACTCAGTGGGGAGAGTGCTGGAATCCGAGCCAGAGACCTAGATTCTAATCCCTGATCTGCTATGGACTGAGTGGGTGATCTTGGACAAGCCCCCGTCCCTCTCTGGACCTCAGTTTGCCCATCTGCTAAAGGGAGATGATAATACTTACTCTGCCCAACTTTCAAATGATACAATGACCAACAGGAGGGACTGAGGCTACCACCTCTGCCTAGAACAATATGACTTAGTCATCTTGATACACTGACCCCTTTGAGAGTCTATTAAAAAACAAGAAACGAGAGATTCCACATTCTACAATCACTACAGAGTCTACTGATATTAAAAGGGCAATAAGGAAATATTATGAACAACATTATGCCAATAAATTCAACAACACTGATATAATGGACAAAGTCCTTGAAAGGTATAAACTACTAAAGCTCACTCATGAAGAAACAGATAAACTAAATAGCTCTGTATCTACGACAGAAATTACATTTGTACTTGAAAACCTCCCCACAAAGGAAGCTATAGGCCCACGTGGCTTCACCAGCAAATTCTACCAAACACACAATGAAGAAATAATACCAATCCTACACAAAGTCTTCCTGAAAATGAAAGAATACTTCCCAACTGATTCTACGATGGCAGCATTAATACATCATAATTAAATGGGTTTGAAAGGTTGGTTTAACTTTTGAAAACCAATCAATGTAATTCATCACATTAACAAACCCTTAAAGGAAAACCATAAAACGACTTCAATAGACACAGGCAAAATCCAACGCTCATTTCTGTAAAAGCTCTCAGCAAACTAGCAATAGAAGGGACCTTCCTAGCCTGATAAAGGGCATCCAAACCCACAGCTAACATCATACTTAATGGTGAAAACTCAAACGTATCCTCTAAGATCAGGGGAAAAAAAGGATGTCTGTCTTCCCCACTCCACTTCAATAGTTTACTAGAAGTTCTATCGTGTATCAGACAAGAAAAATAAATAAAAGGCATACAGATTGGAAAGGAAGAAATAAAACCATCTCAATCTGGAAATAACATAATCTTCCATGCAGAAATTCTGATGGAATCTACAAAAACAGCTACCAGAATGAGTTTAACAATATTGTGGGATACAAGATCAAAATACAAAAATAAATGGTATTTCTAAATATTAGCAATGGGCAAACATAAACTGACTTTTAAGAACAATGTCATCAAAAATATGAAATACTTATAAATAAAACTGACAAAAGATGTGCAAGACCTGTACACTAAGAACTGCAGAATACTGCTGAGAAATATTAAAGAAACCTAAATAAATATAGAAATTACCATGTTCATGGATCAGAAGACTCAATATGGCTAAGAAGACAATTTCTTCAAACTGATCTACAGACAATCCCAATCAAAATCCCAGTAGGACATTTTTGTAAAAAATTGACAAACTGATTCTAAAATTCAAGTGGAAATGCCAAGAGCCTACAATAACCAACTGTGAAAAAGAAAAACAATGTTGGAGAGCTAACACTACCTGATTTCCAGACTTTTTATAATTATAAAGCCACAGTAATCAAGTTAGTGTAGTACTGGTATGAGGATAGACAATCAGATCAGCGAACAGAATACCGCAACAGAAACAGACCCACGTGTATATGGACAATTGGTTTTTGGCAAAGGTGTAAAGGCAAGTCAGTGGAGAAAGGATGAGCTTTATGATACGTGGTATTAGAACAACTGGACATCCATGTACAAAAAATGAACTTCAGTCCATACCTCATGCCATATACAAAAACTGACTTAAAATGGACCACAGACCTAAATATAAACAGTAAACTATAAAAATTCGAGAAGAAGGCATAGAAGAAACCTTTCTGACCTTGGGTTGGCAAAGCTTTCTTAGAAATGCATAGAAAGCATGATCCATTGTTGTGCTGGGGACAGGCACACCTAAACAAGATCCAGGAAAGATTAAATTGATAAATTGGACTTCATCAAAATTTAAAACTTCTGCCCTCTGATAGTGATAAGAGGATTAAAAGACAAGCCAAAGACGTGGAAAAAACACTTGCAAATTAAATATCTGGTAAAGAACTTGTATTCAGATATATAAAAAACTCTCAAAACTCACTAATCTAAAAAAAGCAACCCAAGTTTTTTAAAGGGGCAAAAAAGACATATCAAGTAAGATATGCAGATGGCAAAAATATATGACGAGATGCTCAACATCATGAGTCACTGTGGAAATACAAGTTAAAACCTCAATGAGAGGGAATTCCCTGGTGGTCCAGTGGTGGGGACTCCGCGTTTTCACTGCCAAGGGTATGGGTTCAATCCCTGATCGGGGAACTGAGACCCCGCAAGCTGTGCGGCCAAAAAAAAACACACACACACACAATGAGATACACACCTATTAAGATGGCCAAAATTTAAGACTGACCAAACCAAGTGTTAGTGAAGATGTGAAGGAACCGGAACTTTATACATTGTTGGAGAGACTGTGAAATGGTACAACCACTTTGGAATACAGTTGACAGTTTCTTAAAAAGTTAAACAGATACCTACCATATGATGCAGCAATGCCTTTCCTAGGTACTTGCCCAAGAAAAAACTAGGTACTTGTACAAGAAAAATGAAGGCATGTTCACACAAAGACTTGTACACAAATGTTCACAGCAGTTTTATTTGTTGGACAAAACAGAAAAAGCTGGAAATGATCCACACACCCTTCACTGGATGAATGGATAAACTGTGGTCTATCCATATAACGATACTACTCAGCAGTAAAAAGTAATGAACTATCAATGCACACAACCACATGGATGAATCTGAAAAATAATTATGCTGAGTAAAAGAAGCCAGACAAAAAGAGTACATACTAGATGATTCCATTTATATAGTGTGAGTTGGTGGACAGTGGTGAGCATAGCTGCCTTCCATTTATATAACATTCAAGGAAATGCAAATGAATCTCTAGTGACAGAAACAGACCCACGGTAGCCTGAGGAAGAGAGGGTTGAGTGGAATTTCAAAAGGGCACAAGGAAACCTTTTAGGGTTGTGCACATGTACCTCACTACTCCATTTTATACAAGGGACTTGAGCACCCTGGATTTTGATATCCACAGGGGTCCTGGAACCAATCCCCTTTGAATGCCTAGAGATGACTGTACATCGTCACAATTGTAGAGGTGGTTTCACAGATGTGTGCATATGTCACGATTTATCAAACACTACATTTTACGTATGTGCCATTTATCATATGCCAATCGTATCTCCATAAATCTGAACCCTTGATTCAAGTCACCTACCTGCTTTCGGGGTCTCAAGGACAGAGGGACCCAGTAAGGCAGCACTGCCTCAGCCCTGCGCACCGGCAGGCGGCCCCCAAATTTGGCCTGACACTCACAGCAGATGGGCTCTCGGTGAACAGAGCTGGGGACAGGGCACATCTGAACAAGAGGCAGAAAAAAGAGAATTGAATGTGATGCTGCATTAGTGATGTGAGCCAAGGTACTCTCTGAAATAGTAAATCCATGCTCAGAGGGAGCAAGGTCAAGACAGGGCATCCAGGGGCAGGCGCAGGGACAGGGGCCTCAGCTCCCGAAGCTCACAAAGAGGCAGGCTATCTCGGCCTGCCCTGAGGCCCTCCAAAGTCACTTAGAGGGGGACCACCAGAGCCTGCAGACCAGGTATGCTGGGATGTGCAACCACTTACAGCCACATTACCATGAGCAAGTCTTGGATTTCCCCCCTAAAAATGGGGAAGTACAACCAACCCTAGCAGGGGTTAGGGGGGAATGATTGCTCTTTTTGTGGTAATCCATGTCAATCTGCACACAGTGCTTTATGTTTGCAAAGGCTTCCACAACCATCCCATGTGACCCCACCACACCCACAGGCAGGGGCAGAGGAAAAGTCATCCTCTCCAGGGGCAGATGGAGCTGATGCCCAGAGCAGATACTTTAAGGGGCAACATTGGTTCTCCCAGGCCTCCTGAATCCCTGTCATGAAGAATTGAGCGGTGGGGGAGGCAGTGGGTGACCCTACATAGAGATTTGGGGGCTTGCATGGTCCCTGAAACCACGGACTCCCCTGACACACCCTCTCGTGAGATGCTGCTTCTGGACCCACATTCTCTGCTCTCCCCACCCCACAGGGGCGTGTCAGAGTTGGGGCAAAGTAGTTGAGATTTGCTTTCCTTACCGAATGATCTATGGAACACACTTCTTCCCCAAAAGTTTGAAATGTGCTTCTTTCCCTAGAAAAGAACAGGAAGGCTTAGAAAGTTCTGGGCTTTGTGTAAATTGGGAGCAGGAGTACTAGGGTGAGGGCCTGGGCCAGCTTGGCCCATACCATTAAACCCCAGGAGTGGAAGGGGTTATCATTCTGAGCCTAAGAGGGTGCAGGGGGTGACAATAGAATCAGGTATGTGCACACTCACATGCTAAGGTCTGGGGGTTCCCAGACGTCAAGCTACTGTGGAATCCTACATCCCCAAACCTATGTGCTCCAGGCACACTAGAGCTAAACCCGTGCTAGGCCCTTTGGGAAAGACAGGAACATTCAAACCTGGTGAGAATTTTCCAGGACGTGGAGCTGCCCACCACAACACATATGATGCTTTCACAGACACCCTGAGCATACTTGGAATACTGAAGGACAATATCGTCAAAGCTCTACATCTAAGGAAATTCCTTGCAGCATAAAAACCTGGGTGCTTTGTCTCTGGGACAACAAAGCATTTGGGGCTGCATAGACTCTGTTACTCTTCCCATTCTCCCCAAAACAAGTTGCTAGAATGTTGGCCACTGTATGGAGAGTGTCCAGTGGGCATAAAGCCAACACAAAGCAAAGACCAGCTTCCCTGAGAGCGATGTATAACATGGAAATGGTAAAAGTGAGACCATCATCGTAATCACCATTATTGCTATCTCACTACAGCAATAGCTTCAGGTCACTGAGCTCAACTGCCCCAGCTGATCCCTGACAACACAGGATGTGAGATGCTGCCCTGCACAGCACCCAAGCCCCCAAACGCTCATGACAGCATTGCTGTTTCCTTGCGGCGGGCCACAACGCCAGCCAAGAAGGTGAAGCCAGCTAGTTTCAGAGGCTGCCTCAGAATTGTATTATAACCCAAGTCAACCCAATGAAACCCATTCTGGGACTTTGTTAAAATTACTGGGAAAGGGAATGTCCTTTTCTGTTGAGGCCGTAAGCCTCCGGACGTCTTGGCGGGCATTTTGCCTCCAGGAGGGGAAGAAAGCAAAGCCGAAGATGGAGACAAACAGTCCTTGACCACCGTCCCTGAGCATGTGGACACATCCATTCCTGACGACTTACTCCTGACAACCTCAGGTGAAACGCTGAATTGCCCTTCCGGGCTTACATGATGTAGGTATGGCGTCTGTCCTGCCTACCTGGTACAAGCTTCTATGGGACAGGGTGATTTCGGGGTGCTGGGGCTTCCCCGGGTGACTCGGGGTCCGGCTTCCCTCAGGTGACTCGGGGTCCGGGTTCCCTCACGTGACTCGGGTGCCGGGTTCCCTCAGGTGACTCGGGGTCCGGGTTCCCCGGGTGACTCGGGGTCCGGCTTCCCTCAGGTGACTCGGGGTCCGGCTTCCCTCAGGTGACTCGGGGTCCGGCGTCCCCGGGTGACTCGGGGTCCGGGTTCCCCGGGTGACTCGGGGTCCGGCTTCCCCGGGTGACTCGGGGTCCGGCTTCCCTCAGGTGACT